TATAAATCGATTCCCTAATGTTGAAAAAAATTTTGTGTAGATTTCTTCCTTCACATTATGTTTTGGTGGGCTATATATGGCAGATATAAGAATTGGTCCGACTGAGTCCTCGATCATAATATTTGTGGCTTGAATTTCATCAGTGCTATAGTGAGTACATTCATAATGTTTAAGTGTTCTTTTAATTAATACTTTAATTAATACTTAAATGCATATAACATACCATATACTAACAAAGCATGATGTGGTTATAATCAATCCAACACAAGGATACTGATATACCGCAGTACAATAAAGCATTTACGCACCAATATACAGTTTAATATTGGCATAAAAGATCGTGGTATAGGAAAGACGCAGGCAGGATCACTTTTAATAGAACTAACCAAAGAATCAAACCAAAGAAAAATGAAGCCTGAACTATTCGAAAAAATTAACCGCTCAAGTCCGCTCAAGTGTCCAAAATAAAACCTCTAACAACAATAGAGATCCGGGATCTCTACATTATAACTGACAAAGAGCAAGTTATATGTTAGAAGTACCAATAAAGCTTGTCGTTGAAATAAAGGTACACATAACCAGACCAAGTAGTCGAGAACAGGCCTATGTCTTCTTCAATCAATTAATTTTATTTGAGTATTTTGTGAGTCCAAGTGAGTTCTTGATAGTTTTGCTCCTTGCTAGAGTTTTTGTTTGCAAAGGTCGTCAATTAAAAACAAAAATCGTTGTTAGAAGTTAAACGGATTCGAATAGTAAAGAAAAGACAAAGGCAAACATTTTAATTAATTTATTAAAATTTGGCTGACCATACAACGCTGTTTCAAGTATCGCCAAGTACTCATCATCAGTGGTCTTAAAAAATATTCGAATTTCTTTTTAATTAGTTTATTGTCCGTATATAATTTGTTTGGACTGCAAGTGCCAGACTTTGTTCATTTCCACTTAATTTGCTAACCAATTCTAGTAAGATTTATGAAGGCACTGATTTGCTTAATCTTAATATATTATCTCAGTGGCTTTTGGGGTTCAAAGTCTTCATAAATATTATGACTATTTAACACTACATATATTGGAATTTTTTGGTTTATATATTTTTATATAAATTAATTTGCAAAAACCCAAGCTCAAATAAGTCTATACACACTTACTATTAGATCTGAATTTTACTGTTAGGGTGTCATTTTAGTTTACACTGTTTCAATAGTCTTATAGGATAGGGTTGACTTTTGTGATAGTAGACCTCTTGTAGAATATCTTGAACTTTTTTTAAAAGGGTTTGAGTGCCCTAAATATTCTTTTCAATTTTCGATTTAGTTTAAAAGTCACTAAATTTATTGGGAATGGAAAAAGATTAGGCATGCTATGTAGGGCTTTTTAGTGAACTGGCTTTAAGAAACCTGTAATATGCTTAAAGAAACCACAATTTTCCAAGTGCATGAAAAATTCTGTTTTCGTTCTTAAATAGAATAAAGGCTTGAAAGTCTTTATTCCTATTCAAGTGCAAGGTAGTATATCAGTATTATCGATTTTGTTCCTATGTTAAGTCCTCCAATTTTTAGAGTCATATTTTAATTAGTTTTAATATTGTGACTTACCTACAACCACTTATTAAAGGTATCAATAGCAGCTTAATTTTTTAGTAGAGATGTCTAGACAGCTAATGCATAACCCAATATTTGTTATGCACTTCATACAATTCGTTATATAATATTTAATAACATTTAAATTGTATTTCCATGCAAAAGTTTTTATTTTTAAAATATTTTCTTTAAAATAACGTTAAAAATAAGCAAGCAGACGGGAACGAACTAATTTTCTAAAAAATATAATTTTCAAAAAAAATCCACTATGTATTCGTTAGAATATTTTTGCTATTATTAGTTATGTTTTCATTTCGAACA